ACAAGTAATTCACAAAGGTCAAAAAATGCCAGCCAAATCTAACACAGATTCATGTAGCTCCTTGGCCTCAAGTTAATGATTTTATGCCACTGACTTTAGGTTAAGCAGCTGGGTGATCTGACTTTATATTGCTGCAAAATGACTCAAATAACGTATTTGAATATAAAGAGTATCTCCAAATTATTAAGGAACATGGAGAGAATTTAGATAAAGCTTTACCTAAACTCTGGATAAAGTGTGTGTACTAAGAAAATTTTACTCATACAGAAACAAGGATGTTTGAACTTGACGATGCCAAATATACCCACAGAGAGAAAAGGGGAAAAAGCAGGTTACTGAACAGTCCCTGAACTAGTGTGACTTACATAGTTGTGGCACTAAAGGGTCATCTTTAGGAAAACAAACAAGCAAAACCAACCCTACAGCCAGGAGATTTGCACAGATTTCCAGGGGCCAAGATGTTATGGATTAGCAGACTTTAAGATTGAGAATATCTCAAGCATTATTAGCAGGGCTAGGGTTGCAGATCTTGGGAGATTTCATTTTCACAGATCAATTCAAGACAAGCTGCATCTTATTTGAAAACTGTATTAACTCTGGGCACATATTTATACTAATCCTCTACTTTTTTTTTTTAACTAAGCCACACCCACCCATAGGTGTTTTTTTCCCACATGTAGTCTCACATATAGGACTTCTAATTTAAAATAAGTCTACCAGGAAAAAATGAATTAATAGATGAGCATATAAGACAAAATACAATTTAAATATACAATAGGAAAGAGTTGATAGCTTATTTTCCATCCACAAAGTATTTCCTTTTGATTAGACTAAAATATAACAAAACCAGCAACCGAATATTAAAGAAACATGTATTTCAGAACTCGAGAAAACCAAACTTAATGCCCTTGCCAGTCAGTATATCCTTAAAGCTTTAATTGTGAATATTTCACATTATCTGATAAAATGGAAAGCAAAATGTAAAACATGAAATATTTAATTATGCAGATACATCAGCTGAGGAACAGAGCTCCAGACACAAGCTTGCGAGGTGTAGTGTTGGCTCGTGTCATTTATAAGCCATATGGACTTGCAAGCTTTGTAGTGTAATCAAAACGTTTTGGTGTTTCTACATATGCCATAGTATGCATTACATGCAAATAGTATAGTTTTCCATTTCTGAGATGCTACTGAAACATTTCTTAAAAATTAATCCCCCTCTCTTACACCCATCAAAGCTATTCTTTTAGGAGGATTTGTAAACCCACCACCTTGGTGTTCCACCGTCTCCACCTGCAAGTACTTGAGAGTTTATTTGAAGACCAAACAATAACTTTAGTTTTCAAAAACTTGAACCTACAATCAGAAAAATATAAAGATACTGCTGTGCGGCTCTTTCACTTTCCACAGACTCTCCTGAGTCCTCCTCCGGAGAGGTCGTCTTCACCTCAGGAGGGAAACCAAAAGGTTTCTGAACCATCATCTCAAACAATTAGGGAAGAAAGTAGCCCCCGACAGCATTTAAATGAGCATGCACTCTTCAAAAAAGCACGTAGATAAAATGAAAGTCCCCCAAACACCCTGAGTCAGACCTCAGCATGCACTTATTTTACATTTGTCAGGAGGAAAACCTGTAAAAGTTTACAAAAAACCAAACAAAACCCACACATACCTGTAGCACAGCAAGTGTGTAAGATAGTAGAGGCAAGTTGCAAGGGCTCAGCGTGGATGATTACCACTGAATGTGATCCCAAAAGAAAGTGCTAACTCATAATATGAAAGGCGGGCGTGTAAGGATCAGGTTTCTTCAAATAAGAGTTACGCAAGTCACTGCCTTTACCTTTGCGTATTGCGGTCACGAAGCTGACAGTTCACTCTTTTTAAAGCTGTTCATTTTATTGCTAGTGTAGGCAGGGTGTGCTGCTGGGAGAAGCACTGCTATAGCTGAGTAACAAACCATCTTTTTAACTTACACAAAATGGTATTAAGCATTGGAGGTCTTTTCAGCTTAGGAAACATGTTGACTTAGCTGACCAATTCATTTAGACAATTTTTTTTTTTTTTTTTAAAGGGTGTTCCTTTGTTTTTAAAGGTTGGGGTAGTATCACTTTTAAATATTATGTTGGCATTATTATTTCCTTAGACTATTCATCCATTGGTAAAAGACATATCTAAAGTCATCAGCAGGGTGAGGCAGTGAAGTAGACACATCATTTCAAAGCTCTATACAAGCCAAAGCTTATATAGTATAGGAAAAATACTTTGTCTTTCAGAGTGAAGATAAATAACATGTAAAAAGGTAATGGTTTTGTAGATTGCTGTATATATCATTATAATAAATATTTAAAATGCTGATACTTTTTTATCCTATCGCAGGGCATTTTATACGGTTTTTTTCCTTTTGAATTAAAGTGACTACCTGATCCTTGCATCCCTCCCATTCTCCTGATTTTCATTTTATTGGATTATTAGGATTATTTGTTAAAAAGCTTTATCTAAGGATATTAGCAATCCAAAATTCACCGTTTCCTCAGAGGCACATCTAAAAAGTAGCACTAAATGCACATGTTAGTCTGCCACACTTTTGCCTTGGGGAAGTGACCAGCTTTACAATTTAGTCCTCACATATAAGCTGTTTCCCCATATTGAAAATAACTTTGTCAATGTTATTTATTTACATGCTATTTATTTATTATTAAAATAAAGTAAAACAAATTTTAAAAAGCCTACCAGAGCATTCCAGAGTGAAGTCATAAGGTTCAAAACCCAACCCTTTTGGTTTGGTTTTCTGGCTTTTCCCACTAGTATACTACAGACAACAAATTATAGCACACAGGGAGCTTAGATACTCCACAGCAACTTCAAAGAACAGTAGTAAAATAAAAGCAAGAAAAATTTGCAGTTTAAATCATTCCTAGAAAAGAGAAAAGACAGCAATGCTTGCAGAACCTTCTCTCCACTGGAGTTGCTTAACCACATTTCCACTCCATGTCACAGTCATGTGGCTTCAGAAATCCTTCTTTGTACCTCAGACTATTCCCCTTCACGTTAATATTAACATAAAACTTTAGAAATTAAATGGCTTTTTATTTGATTTCCTGTTGCTTCCGTGTTCCTTGCTGGGCAATCCATGCCGTTTTTTTACATCAAGTCAAACCTTAATTCAACACATTCATGATCTCTGTGCGTGCAGCTGGTTGCACTTTGTTCTGAACACATACCTCTTTTGAATCTCACGTTCCCTGCTCTTACTCAGTGACTTACAGTTTTATCATGAAGATTTGGCTATTCTTGTAGCAACTCGTAGTTACCCCTTCACTTCAAACAAATGCCGCATCTCAGTCTGTTTTTTTTCTTTTTGCTTAGTCATAGCGTTAGTGTTACAGTGCACATGCCGCTTCAGTATTTATGAATGACTGCTGTTCTCTAAATATATGACCTGATCGTCCTCTTGCAGATCAACTAACCTTCTAATGCTAATGGAACTCTATTAACGTTGAGTTATCCAGGTTTTATGCTGGGGTAGTCAAGGTACCATAAACTTCCAGACCTCTACCTTCTTCTGGAAAAATGTGTTATGAGAGCTGTATCACCCAGGTAACAGCTGGATTAATACATTACATGCAGATGGTATCATAAAAGCAACAGTTAATCAGCAGTCACAGGCCAGAATTCTCTGAAGACCTCCCCACGGGAAAGACGGAGGGCCATTAGCAGCATGTAAAGGAGAAAAACATGGATGGGAAAAAGCAAAATAAATTAAAATCCCATTGAGAGGGACGGTTAATACATACTGCTGACTATTTTTAAATGACACACCGCAATGTGTATTTGTCTGATAGTATATCAGTTTAATTTGAGAGATTGTCATTAGTAAAATTGAGGCTTTCCTAAATTACATTTTCTTCCCATTAAAATCACAGAGCACTCTTTATCAGTAGCACTGAGAAGGTGAAAAGGGATGTACATTCTTTTCTTTTCTCATAACTATACCAGCACCCAGTGAAGATAACAGGCATCTGGTTTCAAACTAACGAACACAGGCCTTTCTCCCCATGAGGCACGATGAAACTGCGGAAGTCGCTGTCAGAGGGTGCACCAGCAGTCTGCATTTCAAACAGGTTCAAAAAGAGACTGGCCAATTCAGAGAGGCTAGAACGGGGCCGTTCAACACACGGCTCCAATGGCAACATCCAGCTCAGGAATCCCCTGAATTGCTGGCTGCCAGGATCCCTACCCAGCCACTGCTGGCTGCTGACGGAGGCTGGGTGCCGAGGCAGATGCAATCTTGAGCTAATGCAACACAAAGATTTTCATCTCATCATCAATGGAAAAATTACGTAACAAGATACATTACGCAAAACCGTGTAACATTTCTTCTTTAAGCAGCAACCATGGTTTGTAAGCCACACATTAAAATGCCCTGTCTGCAGATTGTGTTCTACTTTTGAATTCCTAAACTGACTGGGAAATCATCTACAGAGTTTCACAGAACCAAAGGTAACCTGAATAACATTAGCCCCAAATTTTGAAACAAGATATGCCCATTTACGTCACCTGTTACAAACATATCTGCCATCAGGGTACAAGTCAAAAAAGCCTAGTGTCTCAAAATGAGCTTCACCAAACAATGTATTTGTGTCCCTAAATTTTGGGCTTGTGATTTATGTAGAACTTAGATGAACAGTGGCCATAACACACAAAGAGGTTAATTTACCATTAGTCTAACTTATTTCAAGCGTTAAGGAACTCTCAAGGAACTGGAGAATATTTCACAGCATATTAAAACATGACACTGCTAGGTGAAATCTGAGACTTCTTCAAAAGAACATAAGAACATAATATGAAAGTATCAGTTAGAATCTACTGACAAAAAACATCTAAAATATTCTGTTTGCTTTTTTCTTTAATTTCTATTTCAACAAACTCTCCCCTGCAATTTTCTAAGATGTGTTATCAAAAATCTCCAGTGTATTACAATTAAGTTGCTTGCTCCTCTATTAAATGTATTTATTCAGCCAGTTGATCATATCCTTTCTTCCTTCCTCAATATAAGGCTTATCTTGAGGATTGATATCTTCTCTTCTGCGATGTACAAAACCATGAGTTTGTCCAGGATAAATTTTAACTTGAAAATCGACTTTACAATTTTTCTTTAGCTTCTGCTCCAGCAGGGTAACCTGTAATACAGCATAGTAGTAGTTGTATTAATATAGCCATATTCCATGCTGCCAGTCCTCAGCTTATTCGTAGTTCAACTCCCTAATTTATCATTCGTGCTAGACACTAATAACCAGGCTCCATATGGCCAAAACAAAAAGTAAAATTATATTAAAAAACCCCTCCTTTGCAATAAGGGTCTAGAAAGTTTGTTAGAATATAAAGCCAGGTCCAACAATCTGCAAAGATATGGATGTAACAAAAGTATTGCCTACATGTGAAACATACGACAATGCTAAATACACTACACCTGAGCAAAAAGCTTCTAACAGACACCTATGGATGCAATTCAGCATATCCTACATGGTTTATCTGTTCCTAGGACCAACAGAAAACAAAGTCATACAGCAAAGGATAGCTCCCGGAGTAGAGTACTCCAAAACAGCAATGGGATTTTGATAAAACTTTGTCACCTAGGTTACTAGCTATACTTTTAGAGAAGAAAGAGACTTAAGGAAAAAAAAAAAACCACCAACTAGTTTTCATTCTTTGCCTAGGTTACATCAGCCCTTCTATATCTGGCTCCATTTTTCTGCTTATTTTTTGACCTTTAAACACCTTTAAACTAGGCTGAGTTTTGACTCCCCATTCAGGATGGAAATATAAACATGCAGAAATGAAAGAAGATGGAGGTTATTAGCATACTTGTTGAAGGGGAATGAAGTCATCTTTTTCAGCAAAAATGAAAAATGTAGGGTTCAGGAGACTGGATATGTCATCAGACTCCTTGATTAGTCCTAGAAAATATTAAAGAAACAAAAAACTTCTTTAATTGACTTTTAAGATGAAATCCAGATTCAAATAAAGCACTCTGCTTCTGCAGTGAAAAGTTTTGATGTCTCATGTAGTATGTAGCCTTGTAGGCAGCAAAATGTAGTAAATATTAGCTTTACTTTCAAGCTACTGTAACCATGGCTCCTAGAAGAATACTGTCCTAGATTAAAACTCTATTTAAGCCCGTTTCTTAAGATACAGACTGAATAGCTGAATTAATAAGACCTGAAAGATGCCTTCTGTGCATACAAGCTTGAGTTCTTTTGAACTGACCAGGAAAGTCAATGCTTTAGTAAGTAGACCAAAATTTACATTCTGAGAATGTTAGCAAAGAGCAGCTTAGCTATCCCAGCTTCTTAAGCAGAGCATAAAAGGAAAGCTGGTGTTAAAATAACCGCAATCTAACTTTACAGAATACCTAGATCAAAAATAACACTCTTTGCTCCCGGGTGAAGTTCTAGCTGTGCAGCATGCAGAGCAGTAGTAAACATGAAAAGGGAGCTATATTGGGAAAGTGACCAAAGGACAATCTGTCTGTCCAGACCCAAAATAAAGCCATGGCTGCTATGACCCATTCTGAAACTAGGAACAAATATCCTCACTACCATCTTCTTTGCATAATATCCTTCCTACTCTGCTGAAAATAGAATAGAATAGAATAGAATAGAATAGAATAGAATAGAATAGAATAGAATAGAATAGCGTATTTCAGTTGGAAGGGACCTACAATGATCATCTAGTCCAACTGCCTGACCACTTCAGGGCTGACCAAGTTAAAGCATGTTGTTAAGGGCATTGTCCAAATGCCTCTTAAACACCCACAGACCTGGGGCATCAACCACCTCTCTAGGAAGCTTGTTCCAGTGTTTGACCACCCTCTCAGTAAAGAAATGCTTCCTAATGTCCAATCTAAACCTCCCCTGGCACAGCTTTGAACTGTTCCCATGCAAAATATCTCTCTTCATCAGCTGGCAGCCTGATTTGAAGAAATAATGCTAGATCAAGTACTTAAGCTGCACAATATACGCATGTATGTGTACCTGCTTGTATTACGTCCTTGTATTCACCTACCATAGAGAGATACACCAGCCTTCAATTCGGGGTACGTCATCATCAGGTGATGTACAGCAATACCCCCCCAGCAAAAACCAACAACCCCTAATTTCTTTGCACCACACTGTTCCTTTAGATATTTCAGGACAGCATCAGCTTCTCTGGAACATATAAGCAAATGCAAATTAAGCACCCATAGTAAAAACAGTATTTGAAAATATGAAAAGAAAACATAGAGATGCATGTAAGTGTCCCCATATTATGCTGCTACTATATTTTATTTCATATACTTTAAATAAATTATTATTTCAGACAAATATTAGGGGTTGCTAATCTGAAATCATCAGAAAGAGGAAACAAAAGGAACTGAACGGAATTAAGTAAATATGCAACATGAATAACATTCATCGAAGGAAACCCAAAGGGATGGAAAGTAGATAATTTATTGAACACCTACCTAAGAGCTAAAAAAGCTTAAAATTCTCTGAGAAGCTGGATGAATTTTAAGCTTTGTAAATGTAGATAGAAAAAGTAATAAAAACCCCTCTAGAGAATACTATTCATTAGACAGTCAAAATGCTGACAATAACTGTAAGTTGGCATCTGAGATATTTGCTGCAGAAAAGCCAATGTAACAAACATGGTAGGTGTTTTCAGAATTTATAATGTAGCTTGAAATACACCTCGCCCAGATGCTGTTTTCTGAAAACACCCATTCAGCCCTGAAGCAGGTGTCACCATGCAGAGGCAGTAAAGACAAAGTATTGGTGGGAGAGAGGTAGCAGTTAAGTCTTTTACATCACCTCAAGACTATATTTTCAGCCCCAGTTCCTTGCCCCTTGGGGCATGCAAGCTATATACGCTGTCGATACATCAGCATGGCAAATAACATGTTATTTGCCAACACACAAACACACACAGAAGCAAATTAAGTGCCAAAAAATTCCTTCTTCACTGGAGCTGACGCTTGAAACTTGTGAATCACCTGTAAGAAATCACCTGGGCAGAGCCCAACCCTTCCTTCCCATTGCAGCAGAGAGGGGACAGATTCCAAACTAAAAAGTTTCCATGACAACTGCCCCCTCTGAGACAGGAGCTCTCTGGAAATGGTTCTGTTATGTCTTCCATAACCTTCTCACCAAACACCTAAGCCCAGCAACCTTCACCATAGCTACTCCCGACAGTCCAAGAAAGACACTTGCTCTCCCAGGAAGTTAATTAGTTTGGTCTCTAATTGGTCTGACCCCTTCTCAGTATTGTCTTGCCAACTGCTTCCTTCTGTGTTATTAAGGCAGCAGAGCACCTCTGCTAGTGACAGGTCTTTGCTGGTAAATGCTCAGGCAGTGTTGCACATGGGAGAGGAAGACATGATCTCTTCAGAGGCAGGACTAAAACAACAGAAAACTTTACTTGCTAACATTAGCAAGATAAAATTAACCAACAGCTTAAATTCAAAGCTACCAGGAAGCCACGACAGGCCACAGATCACTGCCTGAGCTGTGTTCCTCAAGGACTGCTTCACACATGAAGCACTAGCTTCTGTTTCTCAGTGATCCCTACACATACTTCTTCACTGAGGACATGAGGGTCATTTATCATACAACCAACCAAAAGGCTGCAGGGCACTACCCCTACACCAGGATTTAGAGGCCAGATGATTCTAGTTCAAGTTACAGAGAAGAAAACACCTTTCCTTGGCAAAGGACCTTGGCATCCTGTAGCAGCCTGTGTTCAACAGCCCAAGAACATACCTGGTCTACAAACAGTAGCAAAACCCTTTCAATGAAGAGCAGCAGTTGGTACTTGCCTATTATTACAGCTGTTCCATCTGTCATTCTTCCTCCCCCCCTTCAAATGTTTCATCTTGTTTGGTTTTGAGTCAAATTTGGAAACTGTCTGTCAGTGTCCCTTCTAGTCACAGAGTTTTCTATCACTCTGCCTAGGACACATGCAGTTAGTTACAAAATAATCTCAAGGTGTTATCAGCATGCTGAAGAAGTCAGTCCTATTTCTCTCCAGAGGTGTTGTGTTCCTGCTGTGAGGAGCCATGATAATTTGGACCACATGGTCTGCCTTTGAGGCAGAGGAAGGAGCCCTTAAGCTGTTAGATTCTCTCGGGAAAGAGCAAAACGAGGTGCTGCAAACACTGCTATAGTTCAGGCAGATGCCAGTAAAGTCTGTTTCAAAATCTGCAAGAGAAATCTGAAACAGGTATTATAGACTCCATTACTAGAAGGAACATACGAGTTAAGGAAACCAAAAGACATTCTAATATAACTGGGGTGATGTGCACCCAAGAAATCTGAGCAATCAAGAAAACACCAATACTGCTGAATACAACTCAGCTATCAGTAGGTTATCCTAAAAGGCAGGAAGAGGGATGCAGTTAAACCAACAGCTGGACAGAACTGGAACCAAAAGAGTTTATTCAGCAGTGGTGTGAGGATAACATCTTTAGGAGCTAATGAAGATGTCCCTGATCCCACTAACTACGAAAGCATGTAGTCTGCATGTAAGTACGGGCTTGTACCTTTCCCTTGGCCTTTGCTAAGCCAAGAGTTTGACTAAGGTTGTAGCAGCAAACAGCTCTATTTTCCCACTGCTATGTAGCTGTGCAATATAACTAAGGTGCTAGCAGAGGACTCTTGCCTCATGCTGTCCAAAGCTAGCACTGTTTTTCAAGGCAGCCAACACACCATGAGTTCAAATCACAGCAAACTTGGTCTTAAAAATTCTTCAGTGTTTTTGTTTATTGGCTGCATGCCGAATCTGTGTTCAGGGCCCCAAACATATCCATTCCTCCCTCCCCCAGAAGTTTGCTGCCAGAACCCAGGGTCAGCCTAGAGATAGTGCAGGTGAGGGCTGCTCCATTCCCTCTAGTGACCACGGGGAGAGGCTCCCAGACAGCGCTGTGGGGCAGCCTCAGCAAGGGCTGACAACCCCTGTCTCCATGCAAGTTGCTTTTAAGCTGAGGCTCTGCCACCCAGCCTTGCTTGAGCTATAGCTCCCGCTCTGTCACAGCCATGCCTGTGCCTGCCCAGGGGTCCTGTTGATCCAGACCCTTGTCCAGACCATGGACCCACAGACCGACTTCCCGGCTTGGCCTCAGCCCTGCCACATCACTACGGACCTGCCTGGTGATCACTGGACTGTATCTGATCCTGGTTAATGTCTCCGGACCTGCCCCTGACCCCAACCTCCTCATTCCCAGCTTGACTTCGGACCTGCCTCAGTTGACCCTGGCTGAACTCGCTTCTTCTTTCCATACAACATCTTAAAGCATCAGTCTGTAACACTCAGTGAGGCTCAAGATGAGAATTATGCTTTCTCACTGCTTGCGTCACTGATCATTTTTAAACCATGCTTTTTGAGGCAGAGGAAGTAATTAGCAGTCTGTGATATCAATGTCAGATGACTACTAAGCCACTACTAAGAGAGTGGTCCTTGAATTCTGTTCAAGGCAAAATAAAAGGTCACTGATTCCATCCACTTCTAAGGAGTCACTAAAAAAAGCCACCTTCACTGGGAGATTAGCTGCATTCAGTCTCAAAGGAAAAAAAAGTGGGGGAAAAAAAGCAGTATCTGACAGTAGCAGACAATGTGATATCCAGCTCTCTGACATCTTACTTGTTTATTTTCCTGGCATCTCGAGTTTTCAGCCAATCCTTGAACTTGGACCAGTCATCAGAAGGCTTCCAAGCTTCTCTTCCTGCAAAAAAGTCTGGGCAGATGGCTCTGCACACAGACACACACACACAAAAATACCAAAATTGAATTAATTAAACCCTGAGGTTTTTTGGCCCTTCATAGCACAGAAAGTTTCTATCCAGGCATAGTTTTGTTTTGATTTTTTTCTTGAGAAAGTAATGTTTTTAAACATCATTGTTTAACATCATTCTACAGAAATGCCTATGAGTTCTACACAACATTTATAGGTACCTCTATAGGCTTTTTTCAATGATTAAATCACATATTATAATTTGTGATACAAATCTGGAAAATATAAGTATTTTTACCCCTAGTATTTTACCTGTTTTGAGTACATAATTTGAAACTACGCACAGTAAAACAATAGATTATCTTGTAAAGGATGATCAAACTAGGTCCTGGTTACAACAATTTTAGATTTTGCATACAAAATAATACCGTTTAACATAAATCCATCATTAATGGGTTCCATTTAAACAATTACAGAAAATAGTTATTTACTACAGAGCACATCATGAGGCTTACTTATGAGCTAGGGAAAAAAGAAAACCACCTGATGGACTGAGGTCAGCAAAGAACAAATGAAGGGAAAGCATGTGGGAAGAAAGGGAGGAGTGTTTTACCACAGACATCATTTGGTGACTGGAAAAAGGGAAGTACAGTAAGAGTCCACTCAGTACTAAAGAGTTCCTGCATCACGGGGGTGCCCAAACCCTGGTTCGGGATGACCTTGGCTGAAATGTGTTGCGTGACCAGCAGCAGAGTTGTGATGGTGCGGTTACTAGTGGATAATACAGTCTCCTCATGCAGAAGAAAACAAGCGGGGACTCACTAGGTCACCCCCAGATGCTGTTGTGTGTTCTCCCAAGCCCAGCCCACAGGGAAGCAATGGGATCCCTGGGAAACTGCTGTCATCTTTCACTTATTAAATGCCTTTGGCTCTCTCCCTCCTCAGACACACAGTAAGTATCTCAGTGATCGTGGTGAAATGGCTGGATCAATTTGGCCTAAAGCAGACCTAAGTATGTTGCAAGCATTTTTTTTTAACTGTGTGTGATAATTTCTGTGAAAAAAACAGTGACATCCACAGCATACTTGTGTTTGGAAAGGTATGGGCAAAATTGCACAGCCTTTGGATAAGTATCTGTCAGAAAGGCTATGCATTGCTTTGAAGGTGAATCTTCCCAAGCCCATGGAGAAGAACAGGTTCTTCCACACTCAAACTAGCCTGATAAGACACTACAAGCCATGAGTCTTAATGTGGTCTCTGAAATACTGCTCTCAGAACTCCTCATCCTACACTGCACTAGGAAAAAATCCAGCTATTTTCCTCTCAATAAACATTGGTGCACCAGTTCAGCAGCACCTTGAAGCAATCAGGGAAGACACACACGACCTCTCTCATTCAGACACTGCTGCCTGAAAATCCTCAGTTCTCCCTCAGCCTAGAGCAATGGAAACACCAGCCTTCTTCCCTTGACCACTGTGGTATTAGCAACACAAGTGGTGGGAAAGAAGGTATTACAAAAAGAAGTATGACATGGCATGAATCACAGGGAAAAATTACAGAAATAATGTGTGGAGAAATACCAATTCATCAGACAGTGGGTACTTTTGACTGAGCGGACTCTTACTGTAATAAGGAAGCATGCTGTCATACTAGTGATTTGCCAGTATCCTGCACAGCATGAAAGGTGTATGCCCAGTCTCATGTTGGGAAGATGGCATTTGGTCACAAGACAAACATAGTTCCAACCATGGAGCAGAACAGGGGATGTCAAGTCCTTAGGAAAGACAGTAGCAAGGAGCAGACTACAGACCAATTCATTGTTCCAGTGTATCAGAAAACCCTAATCCTCACAAAGGTAGTATCTTTATCTTGCAGAGACACAGAGCTCCTTTCAGCTCCACAGATGGATCTCAGCCACATGGCAACTGTCTGCTGACATCTGACTTCCCTCATGCTCCACAGGCTGACAGCATTAAAGGCACCATCTCTCAAAACCAGACTACTACAGAATTAGGTGGACATTTGCTTTCTGGAACTGCAGGCCAGTCTCAACCCTATAGGAATGTTTGTAACGTATACTGCAAATGGAGTACCTTGCAGCATATCCAGTTATTGCAAGATGTTGCTGCATTTTGGAATTTAACTGCTGTAGGGCACCAAAAATGAGTGTGAAAGATTTGCAGGGGGGAAGGGGATTGTATTTAATACCCTATGTGTGCATATGAATGATTCATATGCACATATTCAATGTGCATATTCAATATCATATTCAAAATATATGACATTCATTCATATGTCTGCTGATGACAATTTTTTTAAATCCCATCATATAATTTAGCTGGAATGACTGTTTATTTTAAAAAGACTTCTAAAAACTGAATACACACTTCTGTTTCAGAACACACTATTTTTAAAAGCCATCTCACATTGTTGGGAAAAATTATCAGAATCACTTTTTATTGCATCATGTTTTCAATATTCCACATATTCTATGCGTGCAGTCACTTCTTCTGTAAACAGCTAAGTATGAAGGAAGCATGCTGCGCTGCACAACATTTCACAGCAATGTTCCTTTGTGGTTTTGTATTATGGAAATATATCATTCAGACTGCCCTAGTAATAGTTTCTTCTCATGTATGGGAATAACAGTTCTAAAGTAAGGCTAGAAATCATAAAGAGTGGGATTTCTTAGGGAAGAAAGATTTCTTACATGTATCCATTAGCTGCAAACATATCAGCCATGTATCTCGTGTTTGGGAGTTGCCATCCAAATATATCATGAATCACGATCGCAGCTTTATCTGTGCTGGCACGTGGTTCGCAAACATACGCCTTGATGTGCTCAACTTGTACCTCCTGCCCACAAGCCTCACAGTCAAACCTGTCTCCAATACCACATGGGCAGGGCCTCGATTCATTAGCCATCTAGGAATCTGCAGGAAAGCAAAAAGGACAAACTAATATAATTTATTTGCAGTAACAACTGTGATTATGGGTCATAATCTTCCTGCAGTCCCCACAGTCCCCTCCAGACACCTAGGAATACCCTCTTGATACTGCAAGGTTGGAAGTGTGTTTATTGTAAACAGGCTCTTGATACCAGCCCTCTCTGCTTGCCATAAACGCTCATGAATTCCAGGTCAGTCAGCATAACTCAGGGGTGCGGTAAGGCCAGAAGAAGGACTTCTAGCTTTGTGCCTGGACCAATCCAGCATGTGATTAACTACATTTCCATGTGATGTCCCCACACACTGTACTTCATAACCATTCCTCTCATGTGGTCTCACAGCTCCTCCTCACAGACTGGCCCCTGGTAACCTCTTGCTGTTACTCCTGTGAGACCCCACTGTCAGCACGCTGCTTTTCTGACTACTTTTTCCCTTCAGGTTTTTATTGTGCATGTCCCCTTTCCCCTCCTGCATGGGGAACCCGAGGCTGCTGCTGCTGCCTACATGCTTTTGGCTGGTCCCTGTTTCCCCTGCTGCATACAGCCCTTTCCCAGGGAACCCATCATTAACTGGCATCTCTAAAAGTTCCAATAAATCAACTCGAAGAAGGCAAATCAGCAGAGGCTTTTCTCTGAGTGTTAACACACTATGTAATCTGAAATGAGAGCGGTCAGAGGAATACAGAGACATACACCAGTATTGTGCATATAACATATCCTCATACATCACAGATATGTGACTTCTCTAGAGGTATACACTTTAAAGGACAAACTGGAAACTACTCCATTTCTCCACAAGCGAAGAAATGTTTCCGAAGAATTTATGATCTAAGAGGTGTTCTCAGAAGAGCTCCTCAAGCTCAGTTTAATTTCTTGTTCCTTTCAACCGCAGATAGGCCACTGTAGCATGTTTTTAAACCCAACTAACTTTTGGTGCCCCCTACTCTTCCCTCTCCACCAAGCAGTAGGTGGTCATACACAGAGCCTTTTTCTACTCTAGTCTGAGAAGCTATTTAACCTACCTCTGTCACCACTCTTAACCGATCAAAAAGGCACTGTTTGCTTATTAACAAGAGCTAGTCTCTCTTCCTGTGTAAATGCATGCACTGGAATGATATTCCTTGGTCTGGCTGGTCCCCTTACTAAAGTGAAATGCAGCATGCTGGCAATAAAAATCAAATGCACTCTTCAATGCTTAACTGTTTTTTGTTAGGAATATATCTTAACCATTTATCCCGTTCTACATTTTCTAACTAATTCAAACCGATGTCAAATAAGACCTTTAATACCCTTCCAATACTCCCTCCTCTCCAATTTCTCTGCTACAAATGTGTGTAACATGGTAAATGGTATTAAAAACAAAACAAGAAAACACAGTGAACAACAAAACAAATTACTCCAAATCCTGCCTCTTTATAGCAGTTATGCTCATTTCACAGGACAACATGCTTTGGGGTGATACATGGAGAGGTTCCCAGCACCAAGAACCGACCCCCTTTAAGGATGTCTCTCAACAGTGCCTTTTCTGAGCAAAGCTCCTTTCCTGACCTTCTGCAATCGATCACCACATCATCTCCAAAAGATGCAGCTGGAGTTTAACTTGCCAGTAGACTGACTGCAGCTCTGCCAGCATTACAATGAGGCAGAAGTGCCTTTTCCAAATCTCAGGCAAAACAAAGACATGAGACTTCAAACACACTGTATAACTGACCAGACTTAGAGCAACTCCCCTACCACTGTGCTTGCCGACTGTTTTACTTCACGAGCTGTTCATCTGAGCAGTAAGCCGGCAAAAACTGATTTCTATTTAAGTAGAAGACTGGTTTCTTTTCAAATAAATCTGTTTAAAAAAACATGTTAAAACACAAGCTGCGTTTAAACAAAAATAACAGAATTGCCAAGGTTTACTAAACAAAAACAACATGCTGCATCAATAAGTTTTTTTAAAAACATAATAACTCGAAGAAAGTTTACAAAATAGTCACAGAAAGGGGTAAATCATCTTGTACAGCTGAGGTTACCCCTACAAACATGCCAAAATTCACAGCATAACCTTTCTTTGAACAAAGTGAATGCTTGGTAAAAACTACTAATTAAACTGACATGGATACAGATTTTCAAAAGTACGTAATAGTTCACAGAAGGGATTAATAGAGATGTTGAGCAGACCATGAACAAAACACTTTTTTCTCCCCGCATCCCGGAGAATTTATCTGGTATAGCTAAAATACATTTAAATAAAAATTGCAGGAAACCAAGATTTTAAAAGTTGCTTATTAATTGAATTCTTATTTTCACTTATATATCATTCAATCACCACAAATTTAATGAGCAGAAGGTTGTTAGTTTAGGAATCTGATTGTATTGTAGTTTAGATCAGCTCTTTGCACTTGTAGGCAAGATCAACTCTTTGCATTTGTGAAACGCCAAACAAAATACAGTTTAAACTTGTCTGTGGTTGAGACACACGAAGACTTTTAACATATCAACTATTCAGGTTTGATCTCCACCCAAGAAATCAGCTGCATTGCCATCTCTTTTGACTGTTCTTTCAAAGCTTTATGAAGTGTGAGTTTCACCATGACTTTAAAATGCTGCTTGCCTTGCTTTTTTTTCAAAAAATTACTCACTATACTTTACAGTCTCACAGTTTAGGCACTTCGTCACATTTTATCAAGCTCACACATGACATATTTAGAGCCCAGATCTGGCATTTCCATAGCCTTGATTTACCCTTCCCAGTTTCAAGATTTAGGCTATCACATAAGCCCCCTCTATAAAATAAAACCAAATAGTAAAACAATTTTTGTTATTGTAACAGGCAGACAGTCTGATCTGTGAACTTCTGGTATTGTGGCCATAGCACAACAGCATCTGTGCTGTTCTCCCACCTACAGTGGTGAGCCTGGGGCTATAGCATCAACACAGAAATAGGTAACAAGTCTCAAAACAGCTCTAGTTTGAAACACTTCTGTGCCTTCTCCTTCATCCCTCTATTTATTCTTCCCTTATTGCTCAAAAAACCTCATCAGCCTTTCTTCTGCTTCCTCTATGGCATGTCATCAAGGTGGCAACTTCTCATCCAGTGAGCTTTGAACCTCAAGTGATAAGAGTGCCAGACATGAAAGTGGAACAAATGGTCTCCACAAGAGTCTATACTGGAACAGAGGCTGCTCCTACCTTTAATAAGTGCTGATGATTGGATGAAAGCAGTTCAGATTTACTAGTTGCTATTCTTCGAATGTTACTTCTTCAGCGATATACATTTGGGTTGCTTAAGGTGTGTCCCCTCTCAGCTGAGTTTTAGTCTGCTGAGTCATTTCAATGTGATTTTGCACTATTTGGCCAATCAAGTTTAAATAACAGAGAATTGCAAGGAGATTAACTCAGCATTTTGGAACTAATACTGTTTGTCATGGTTTAAATTCCCTTAAGCAGCTCAGTATACCTCTATTTATATTTGTTCATGTGAGAAAAAAGATCTTACACATGATGAGCAAGCATAAACAGAATACCCTCAGGGTACAATTCAAATCATGCTTCTTCCAACTCATTGGCTTATCAAGTTTTAATGATATCCCAAGGCAATCTGATTTTGCCATGTACAGGAGATAAACCGATAAACATTCAGTAGAGAAAAATAAAACGCAGGGTGTGACGATGTTGTATCGAAACCAGGGCTCCTTCTGAATAACTCCAGAGTCCTAACGCGGAGGTGACATTCCATCTTTTATCATGATCCAGCAGGCGACAGTGCCTTGCCGCACGCAGAGACAGCGCTCAGCAGCTTTGCTCGCCACAGCTTCCCACTAACTAGGAAGCCAGGTTTCCTCCGACAGTGACATACCATTACCGCAGGATTTGACAGGAACCATTCAGAGTGTTGATTACTGTAATTAGAGCCAACCCGCCTAAAAAGCCTTCTTCATGACAATCAAGGAGAGGGGCCCCACCTTGTGGACATTTCCTTGGAGTGAGGATGGCTGTGCAGCTCTTAAACGCGGCGCTTCTAAAGCAGTGCTGAAAAGCTGGCTATGGTAGCGATCTGCGTCAGATCTCGCCCAAACTAGAGTCTGCCTGGGCTGAGCAGCTAGGGGTTACGCACAGAAAACACCTCCCTTCTTTCTCCCGAGGCAACCCATCCTCCTCTTTCCGCAGGTGTGAGGAATTCTGCCTCGATACGGCTCTCCGAGACCTGGAGGAAAGTTGACGCGCTGCCTGCAAACTCCTTACCTGTGCACTGAGGAGGGGAATGAGGGCAGAGGGGAACGAACCGGGATGAGAGCAGGGCATCCACCACCACCAAAGTCAACCAACCAAGCCTGGGAACAATTTATCAGGGGCCCCAGAAGCCATGGCACCCGTGGCCACGTGCTGTGAGCGGCAGGAGAGCCTGGATGCCCAGCGTGGCTGGAGACGCCCCGTGCCAGCCCTGACCACCCAGGGCTCAGCGCATTTGGAGAAGAGTACAGGCAGCCTTTCACACCTCTTCTGTAAAAGCTGTTTACGCAACCTGCAGCTGCACCCCACACGTGCTATCCCATAGCTACAACACCCGGCTCGTTAGCTTCATCTAACAAGGCTCCCCACTGAATGCTTATTTTATAAGAAGCCGTGTAGTATCCGGGAAAACAAACAGGATAAAGCTGTCAGGCACGCAATGTTTGTTTCTAGCCCGCTTCAAACAAGTTTTTAACATCAACAACATAACTGGCATTTTTCAGTTCAGGACAAGCTACGGCAGACACTGCTTTCCCAGCTCTCTCAAATTTCTATTTTCCTGATTAGCAAAAGCTTCATCGTGCTCACTCCTCATCTCCTACAAAAATCTTACATACGGCACTGCCTTCACAAACCCATAATGTATGGAGGGTTTTTCTGAGGTCATGAAGGCACACAGGCACAGGAGTGGTGCCAAGGGCCTGGAGCTCTCCTTTGGGTACATGGGAATGCTGCAGGATCAGGATCTGGACATTTG